TAAATGGCCATAGCGGGTCTGCCTTTATGTCCAGCTTTGTAGCGTGCACCGGGTCCGTAAGGAGGCAGGTTGTGCTTGTTTTGGGGGTGACGGGACAGTCCAGGAACAATTTGTTAGCCATTGCAAGGGGTGGACCGCATCCGGCACATCAGTTTGAGGGGCAAGGTTGGCCAGTTGGAGACAGGCAAATGGTACCCAGGGGATGTCATTCCCTATGAGCAGGCGTACGAGGACCTTGAAGAGGAGCGCGTCTGACTGTCTTTCCGGATCCAGGATACCGAGCCCGCCTTTTGTTCTGGACTGTGTGAGGACCTCCCAACTCACCCTGTTGATACAGCCGTGGACTTTCGTGCTGTTCTTCCAAAGGTATGTTGTGAGAGCCTTCTTCAGCCTAGTGTGTTGTTGCCTGGTTAGCGGCCAGACCGCCAACTTGTACCAGATTGCAGCAAGAACTGCACTATTAATAGCTAGGGCTCGTCCTACCAGTCATGTGTGCAGGCCCTCCCAGTTGGCCAGACGGTCCACTGCCGTGTCAACCAGTCTGTCCCCGTGATCCATGGGTGGGCCCTCTGCAGTCAACCGCATGCCAAGTATTCTAATGGCATCTTCTCTTCGGGCCCATGCCACACTCGGATGAGGGGGAGGCGGTTGTCCTTGCGGGTGCAGCCACCATCCCTCAGTTTTAGAGCCCCAGTTGACCTTCATGTCTGCTGCTAGTGAAAAAAGGTGTATGACATGGGTGAGGGCCTGAATGCTCTCCGGGTCTGCGCGTATTAAAACAGTCAAGTCGTCTGCGAAGAGCGATGTGACTGGAATTAGGTGCTGTGGGATGTCTGGGATAGGCACCCTGCTGATGGTGGGGTGAGCTCTGATCATTGCCGCGAGGGCCTCCATGACAACCACAAATAGGAGCGGCGCAATAGGGTCTCCTTGGCGCACCGATCGTTGGAGAGCAATTGGCGATGAGAGGTGGCCATTCAACATGATGTTGGTCGTGGCTGACCTGTGAAGGAGTTGCACCCATCGACAGAAGACTGGGCCGAAGTTCATTTGCAGCAGGCATATGTCAAGAAAATCCCAGTCTACGTGATCGTAGGCTTTTTCAAAATCAATAAAAAGGACCGCCGCTTGGACGCGCCGCTGTCGGGCACATTTGATGGTTTCATTGACCAACAGAATGTTGTCTTGTATGTTCCTGTTTGGCATGAACCCGGTTTGATCCGGGTGGATGAGCATATTCATAAATGGCAGCAATCTGTTGGTCAAGACTTTGGCAACCATCTTATAGGGGACCGGGAGAAGGGTGATCGGCCTGTAGTTTCTTATGTTCTCCTTGTCACCCTTCTTATACAGGAGAGTAGTCACTCCCTGGCCAATCATGCCTCCAAAGGAGCCCTCGTTTTGCACCGCTTGTATGTATTCCATGAGATCGTTTCTAAACAGGTCCCAAAATTTTATCCAAAACTCCTTTGGAAAGGAATCTATGCCCGGAGTCTTTCGTCATCCATGTCTTGCAAGGCCTCCCAGACCTCCTGCGAGGTGATAGGCTTATCCAAGGCGGTTCTTTGCTGTTGTGTAAGATTGGTTTGGACTGCCTGTAACAGCGATTGCCTCGCTTGAAGCACTTGGTCCGGGGGTTTGGATGGCGTTTCGGACTTGAAGAGGTCAGCATAGTATTTGGCCGCGTAGTCGGTGATTGCATAAGCGTTAGTTGCTGGCTCAGCGTTTCCGTTCAATGGGTGGTTCAGTCTGGGGACCGTGGCAGCTCTAGATCTCGCTTTGGCCTTCGCGAAGAAGGTTTTTGCCATAGTCCCGTCCGTATGGTGCTTGCTAATTTTAGCCTGCACTCTCCATGCTTGTGCCTGGCGTTCTAGATATTCCTGGAGGTGGTCACGAGCCGCTTGCAATTTTTCATATGACGGGCGATGCAGCGGGTCGTTCATCAGTGTGTCGTCCCACTCTTCCAACTCCTTGATGAGGCTTTCAAGGCATGCTTTACGGTCTCTCGCGTGCTGAACGGAGAATTTCTTGGCCCTTTCTCTCAGCTGCGCAACGCCATCGTTGAACCAACTTACTCTCTCCCCAGTGTCTGGCTTTTGGGTTCGCCAGTACTCCCAAAATTCGCTGACCATTGTTTTGAAACCAGACAGGGGGAGCAAAGATGCATTAAGCTTATAGAAGCCCGGCCCACGCTGGATGTGATTATGAAATGACAGGCCCAGCGTGATCATCCTGTGGTCAAATGACTTGCAGGGGCTGATGGTCGTTATTTCCGCCGTCATCATGAGGCCTATCAACTCTTTTGACACCAATGTTAGATCAATGCGTGAGTTGGCAAGACCCTGTTCTCCTCTGGAGGACAGGCATGTGTAAGCCCTCTGGGTCGGATGCAGCAATCTGTATGCGTCCTCGAGTTGTCTGTTTGCCATGACTTCTTTTAGAAAGCAGTTGTCCGGGGCCTGAGCCAACGGCGGTGCGGAGGCGGGGTCTTGGTGCACTCTCGTGGATCTTCTGTCCAAGACGGGGTCCAATGCGGTGTTGAAGTCCCCTGCAAGTATTAGAGGCGCGTCGTCCGGTAGCACTTCTTGGAGGGTTAGCCAGAAGTCCACGTTCGCTACGCAGTCATTGGGTGCGTACACGCTGACCAGGTAGAACACCTCGTCGTCATATTGCAATTTCAGGCAGACCCACCTGCCGCGCTGTTTATCGTGTTGAACCTCCAAGGGTTTAAGTTTGGAGGACGGCGGGATCCAGATTGCGACTCCCGCCGACGCCCTTTCGATTGCCGGCGCAGCGAACAGCGTGTATGGCCAGATGGCTTTCGCCTTTGCGTTATGCGCTGGCGTGTCTTGCAGGTGAGTTTCCTGGATGCAAATTGCATCAGGCCACGATCCGGTTTCCGCACATCTGAACATACCCCATATGGCGTCTTTCTCAGTGGTTGTCGCCTGGATAAGGCCATTGACATTGAGCGAGCGTATGTCAATGTCTGCCTTTTCCAATTTAGTCAACCATTGGGGTCTCTTCCTTATGGGCGGGGCGGTGACCAGTGGTGGAGGGCATCGGGCCGGGGGGGGCCGAGGGGGAACCAAGGGATCAAGGGGACGGCCAGGGGCCGGTGGAGGTGTTGGGGGAGGCGTGGGATCGAGCGGGCGGCTAGGGGTGGGTACAAGAGAGTGATGTGGGGGGTTGAGGTGCGCAGGTGGATCGGTGTTTGGGGGGACGATATGCTGCGGTCTGTCAGGCGGAGAGGATAGTGGCCCTGATGTCGAATTCTGTCTGTCTGTCATAGGAGCACCGTGATTAGGATTGTGGCTGGACTGGTTCATTGTACCCGATGTACAGTCTGGCCAGCGTGTGTATACCCCCCCCATTTCAATCTGCGATCTTAATCGGGAGAACAAAGGGGGGGTCATCCCACTGGTTATGTTCTTCAAGAACACAGTCCTCCAACAGAATCTGCATAAACCACAGGACTGTGGACCTGGTCCATGCGAAATTAGTTCTGAATCTGTGAGCGGGCAGGGACATGAGCTGCTGATGTGTGTACCATGTATGCGCTGTCCGCTTCTTCGGGCCTGCAGGCTTCGAGGTCATGAGCACTATAACCGGGATGATTCCTTCCGCCATTGACAGCGATCGGGGTAGGACTGCTCCCTGGACACCATCCAGTTGGGTCTCCCTTCGCCAGTATTTGAGACGTTTCAAGATGACTGCAGTGGATGGATGACCCCTCCATCCTTCGACTGTAAGGCCTTCCGGGTCTGGGGCCAGGTGCTGAGCCCGGTCTGGGGGGGGTCTGAGGCCCAGCATCTATTGGCCACCGTTTTTTTGCCGGGACATTGGGAGAATAATCACCCCCGGGGGGAGATGTTTGGGGGAGGCGTCGTCAGTCACCAGTCTGACCCGGTCACGCAGAGCACCACTGGGAGGTTCATCTTGTTCCTCTTCGTCAGAACTGGATTGCACACCGTCATCATCATCCTGTAAGACTGTAATTCTCTGGGGTCGACAGGGCAGCAGGGCGCGTTGATCTGTAGACAGTGGCTGTGGGTCCCATGTGAGAGGCTGGTTCTGCCGATCCTGCAGTTGGCCCGGTTCGGCAGTGCCGGGGGTATGAAGGGTCGCACAAAGCTCAATAACCAGTGTTTTTGGCCAGTGCAATCCTTCATGGAGGAATGCCTCCTCTGCGATTGGAAGCTGCCCATCTAGGCTGCATTCATATCTAGATTCTGCATACTGCTGTATTTTGTCCAGAAAGTCGTTTACAACCAGGACTATTGCTGCGCCCACGTCCATCCAGTCGATGGAGTGGACGTCGCTGTATTTTTCCACCGTGGCGAGGACACGCGGGGTGAACATGAGGACCTCCTTGGCCTGTGTTCAGTAGGGGGTGGCCAACTTGCTCTGCAAGCCCTCTTCCGTCATGGAGAATATCTTCGCTAGGGTCCAATCAACGAGGAAGGCCAATTTTTGCTTGACCTCTTCGTTGTGCGCCAGCGAAGGTGGGGGGGGTGGAGGGCTATGAGGCGGTGACTGCGGCAGCGGGGGCGCAGCGTGGGTCATCTCGGTATCCTCCCCCACCGGGCCCATCTCCGATTGCGGCAGCTGGGGCGCAACGTGGATCATCTCGGTGTCTTCTCCTCCGGGCCCATCTCCCCCGGGCCCGTCTCCCGGGCGCAGCCTTGCCTGTCTTGTTGCCCGTCCTCCAGAGCGGATGTGTCCATGTCTTGTGTATCCTATGCGTCGGCATTGGGGGGGTGGGGTGCAGCAATCAGGGGGCTGTGCAGTAAGCAGTTTCGCTGTTGGTGGTGGGACTGCCTTTCAATCTCCTGCCGCCAAAATTGGTGAAGGTGTTGTTGCTGCTGCTGCAAAATTTGTTCCTGCTGGCAGCAAAGCTGTTGTTGCCACTGCAACTGCAGGCTTTGTATAATCTGGTGTTGGTGCATCTGCCTTTGCTGGTCCTGTAGATGGTGGTATTGTGCCATCTGTGCTTGCAGGAGGATGCACAGCTGGTCGGTACATTCTGAGCTGTGACGCAGCTGTTCGTGGAGCAAAGTACGTTGCACGTTTTGCCTCGCCTGCTGGAGCGGGAGCGTGTGTTGCTGCTGGTGACACGACACGTCTTCATGAAGAGACGGGGGCGTTATCAGCTGCTGCTGTTGCGCCGTGGTCTGGAGCTGCCCGTGCAAATATATCTGTTGCAGATCTGGATCCGGCGGATGGTGTTGCAACAATTGTGGCGGGATCCCAGGCGGGAGTTGTTGTCGCTGAAGCGCTTGTGCTTGGAGCTCTGTGTTCTGCACCTGCTGCGTTTGTGAGCGGGGGTATAAGTCCATCTGCTGGAGCTCTGAACTCTGCCCCAGCTCTGTTTGCAGGTGGGGGTAGAGGTCCATTTGCTGTGGCGGGTCCCCTTCCTGACCTTGGGAGGGCTGATGCTGGATCAATTGCAGTTGGTGTTGTAGTTGATGAGTGTCCCGCAGCTGATTGTGATGAGCGGGCTGCTGTGTTGGGGGCTGATGATGGTGTGACTGCGTCAGAAATTCATGAGGTTCCATGTCATCAACTTGAGGTGGTTGTGGGCGCTGTCCGATCACCTCATCGTGTTCCGCTTCTAGCTTGCGGGTACGTTGCAGCTCCATATCTGGTTCCTTGGGCGAGACAGGGGGGAGGAATTTGATTTCCCCCGTGACTTGAGAGGTCACCAGTCTTGCAGCGGATGGGCCGGGGTCTGGCGGGTGGTCATGCTTGTTGCTATGTTGGTCGGAAGGTGGTTGGAGTGCATGTGCTGTTGCCAAACAACCCGGGGGTTCATTTATTAAAGCATGTTGCTGGTGGTTGGGTGGCTGGGGCTCCGGTTGTTGGGGGAATGTGGCACCTTTTAGTTTGTGGAGCAGGTAGTTAGCTTTGGACCAAACCTCCTTAGGTTTGAATCCCTTGCCCGCTACCCCCTTGGACGCCATTCCTGTGTGGGGCCCCTCCGGTTTGCGAGCGAGCAGGGCAGGCTTTTTACCGGGTGCACTCGCCGGGGGTCCAGTCTGTGGTGAGCGTGGTGGTTGCTGTGGCCCAGGGGGGGGTTGGTTTGTGAGTTCAGCGCCTCGAGGGCCCCCAGGAGGCAGAGGCTCAATCGCCTGATGATGAAGAGACTCTGGTGTGATTGGTGCGCCCTCTCCATCGTCGAACGCTTCGCTGCTATGTTTTGGGAGGTGATTGTGCAACGTGGCGAGCACTCCCTCGGTTCCTTGAATATGCAGAGGAGGCATTGGCTCAGAGGGCGGCCCAGTCTGGAGTCCAGTCTGTGGCTCAAGGGGGGGCCCAGTCTGGAGTCCAGTCTGTGGCTCAGGGGGGGGCCCAGTCCGGGGTCCAGGCTGTATCTCAGAAGGGGGCCGAGTTTGGAGCCCCGTCTGGAGTGTCTGACCGGAGGGCCCAGCCTGGCGGCCGGTCTGGATTGCAGCTATAGACACCTTCCCGAGCGATACTGGGTGCTGCTTACTCTGTTGCCAGGCTCCCTGGTGTTGCCCGTTTTGCGTGGTCGGTGCTTGCAGATTTTGTGGTTCAGGGGGGGGCCCAATCCGGAGCCGAGTTTGTGTCTCGGCAGGGGGCTCCGTCTGGAGCTCCGTCTGGGGTGTCTCAGAGGAGGGCCCAGTCTGGAGCCCCGTCTGGAGTGCAGCTGCAGACACATTCACGAGCGATACTGGGTGTTGTTTTCTGCGTTGTAGGGCCCCCAGTTGTTGCCCGTTTTGCGTGGTCGATTTTTGCAAATTTTGTGACTTTTGCAAATTTTKTGGCTCAGGGGGGAGCCCAGTCCGGAGTCGAGACTGTGTCTGGGATGGGGGCCCTGTCTGGAGCCCCGGCTGGGGTGTCCCAGAGGAGGGCCCAGTCCGGGGCCCCGTCTGGAGTGCAGCTGCAGACTCATTCACAGGTGGTAGGGCCCCCAGTTGTTGCCCATTTTGCGTGGTCGATTTTTGCAAATTTTGTGACTCTTGCAAATTTTGTGGCTCAGGGGGGAGCCCAGTCCGGAGGCGAGTCTGTGTCTAGGATGGGGGCCCTGTCTGGAGCCCCGGCTGGGGTGTCTCAGAGGAGGGCCCAGTCCGGGGCCCCGTCTGGAGTGCAGCTGCAGACTCATTCACTGGCGGTACTGGGTGTTGCTTACGCCGTTGTAGGGCTCCCTGTTGTTGCCCATTTCGCATGGGCGGTTCTTGCAACTTTTGTGGCTCTGGGGGGGGCCCAGTCTGGAGTCCAGACTCAGTCTGGAGTCCAGACTGTGCCTCGGAAGGGGGCCCATGCCGACTCCGTTGCAGGGCTGTCTGCTGTTGTCCGTTTTGCGTGTCCGGTTCTTGCAAGTTCTGCAATCCCGGTTTAGCCTCATGTGTCTGTTGTCCGGGATGTGTCACCTCAGCAAGAGGTCTTGGCTGTTTGGGCTTGTACTTCTGTTGGAGGGGGCCCGTTGGAGGCTTGGGCAGGCCACCCTGACGAGCGTGTTGCAGGATTACTTTGGCTTGTTTGGTTTGTTCGTTTTGTTTATCACCACCCTCGTCATCTTTGTGACTGTGTCCGGGTCGCCCTTCTGCTGGCCTCCGTCCTTGGTTCTCGCGAGGTGCATCCGCTTCCGAGTTTAGCTGCATTTTGCCTTTTTGTTTCCGGTCTGCAGGGATGACAAGTTCAGCTCCTGCCGGTGATGTCGCCGGCTTGCCATCTCCCTGCCATATCCATTGTCCCGGGCGGCCGTCTGCGTATGCCCTGAACATCCAGCCGCAAAACTCCTTTTCTTCTGGGTACCATCTTTCTTCATCCTCCGGGTCCGGGATCACCAGGCCTTTAATTTTCGTTTTTCGCTCATTTTTCGGGCAGTCGATGTCTGTACACAGGTGTCCCTTATGCTTGCAGGCGTAGCACCAGGGGTCCTGAGTATGGCTGATGGGGACGGAGAATTCCTTCCCCCCTAAGCTGTACCTCCATTCCTCGTTGAGCGGGAAGGGGTACCGAAGGTCCCATTCCACAGCAACCAATAGGGAGTCGTCTCTTTTCCCGAGAAAGTGGGGCAAATCTGTTATATATCCTTTGACCCTTGCTATATTTTCCAGGTCTGCGAGGATGGCCCCTTGCACACACAGGGGCGCAAACCGAAACTCTACCCAGAAATTTGTCTTCATGAGATGTTCCCTTTTCTCGTCAGAGGACAGCGGGTGAACTGGGGACCATGAGGAGAGTTGCACATGCTTACCTCGAAATTGCAATCTGTTATTCCTGAGGAGCAGTTGTTTGTCTGCTGGGTAGAGGGCAACAACTGTGACGCAGTCTGGTGCGTCCACTTCGATGAGAAAGTGATCCTGGACCAATTGGCGATCGGGTTTTATTTTCCCTAGCTTTTCCGTGACCCATTTGACCTTTACATTGGTTGATATCGACCAGTGAATAGGCTGGAAAAAGAATTGCACAGCTCTCTGAGTGTAGATTCCATCTCTGGTCGCCTGGGCACGGGGCGAGAAGATGGAGTGTGGGTAAATGTATCCCTGATTAACCTGGAATCTTCTTTCCGGTTCGACGTAGAGATGTTGTATGAGATGGCTCTTCAGAGGAACCATGGAAGCAAGGGAGGACGACCTTCCCGTATCAGCCTGGCCCGGTGCCGATAGTGCACGGAGTAATTGGGGCGGCGGCTTGTGTGTATTTTGTGTTGAGGTGGCGGGGGAAGCAGCGGTGGTCGGCCCTCCCCCCGATTGTGTGACTTTGTCCTTCCATGTCTGTGTGTTGAGTGCTTGCGTATGCTGTCTTGGAGGGGTAGATGTTGCCCCCCGCCCTGTGGCTTGTGCTTGGGGTGCCACGTGCTGTACACTGGGTCTCGGCTGCCCAGCTTGCCGGTGAGGCGCTTGGCCAGTGTCATTTTTCCTTTCATCCATGACCACAAGAGTGTGTGCGGGGAGGATGAAATCGAGGGTCTCCACGGCTGGACAAGCCGATTCAGGCAGTCAGTTTGCAGGGCATGCAGGGGGCGATGGGGGTGGGGAAGGCATGAAGGGGGAAGAAGGGGAAAGAAGGTAGACACAGGGGTCAGGGGGGGCGGCCACGGTTCATCGACATGGCGGGGGGGGGGKGGGAGCAGCAGGGGTCACGCGGGGAGAACCCGGTTGATTGCGTGTAGGGCGAAGCCGAGGAGGGTACGGGGATCAGGATCGGGGTATGGGGATGAGGATCGGGGTATGGGGTAGAGAGATCCTAGGCTTATGATCATCAGATCCCTCTGGTTATTATCTTGAATTCTATGTTTTTGAACCCTTCCCTATTGGAGGTTGTTCTCACCTAGAGCACCTCCAGTTTCTGTCCTCAGAAGGCTCACGGCCACCATCCGCTTGGCTTATCTCTATCGTCTTTTTTTTTTTTTTTACAAATGCTCCAATCTATTTGTGGGGAGCAGCATGTGTCCAGCATCCCATAAGGACATTTACAGCTTCAACAGGGATCTTTTTTGAGAAAAACTGAGAGGACCCCCCCCTGCCAGCATTGATTACACTGGAACCCAGGGGATTAACTGAGTAGGGAACGTCCTTTTATGGTAATGAAAATGAAAAGGACCATGCTATGTCAGCAAAAACCAGGATGGGTCAAATTTAGAAAAACACGTAACCTCTGAAACAGACAAGCAGAACAATCCTGCCTACATCATAGAAAGGAAAGAACCTCTATCATCAACTGGGCCTCTAGTCATGTTTTGTCGTCCCCAAACTGCAGCCTGTCCATTTGTGGTGACCGCCTGGCATGTCTGTGAAGTTGAAGGAATTAAGAGACGCCGGAAGTTTTTTTTTTTTTTTTTTGAAGCCCTCTTGCAAGGCCTCTATCCCGGCGACGGTAGGAGAGCCGCCAGGATTGAGGCTTTGGCTGCCGGGGCGCTCCATCTATTGGTGGGGAGCTACACCTGCTGGAAACCGGGTCCAGTGTCCCTTAGATACGTTCGTGAAATTCAAGTCCGGGCTACCAGCATCAGTTACTCTACTTCAGAGCACCCAGCTTCTCTTCGGAGCTGCTCATAGTCCCCTTCCCTAAGCGTGGGCCTTTCCTATCATCTTGCCCTGCCCGCACCTAGAAGTTGCTCAGTAATGATTGTCAGCCTTAACTCCCCTATTCACCAACCATTCCCAAGCTACTTTCTGAAATCAGCAGCCCCCCAAATACCCCTGAGTGTGGAGCGCTGCGCCCCGGCACCAACCGCGGCGGCGGAGTGAGGCGGTGAGGCGGGAGGGTGTCTGGCTTGCACCGCTCTCGCTTTGAAGTATCCATACGGACAAACTAAGGCATGGCGATGGCATGATGGAGACGCTGGTGGGGTTAGGGGGAGTTGCTGGACAGGGTGTCGAAGCTTACAGCGGCTACCTATTAAGCGTTTTGCGCACGCGCGGGGAGCAAAGTTGGTGGTCTACACCGTATCACGGGTTGATAGGGAGAACTAGACTGACTCCCGGGTGCTTCCTGGGAGTTCCGCGTCCATACTCCATTGCTGCTGCGTTTCTGCCCGTGGCATAGAGCCTGTGAGGTGTCGCCTCTGGTGATGCCTGTGGAGTGCAGCGGAGAGAGCCTTGGGCAACCCGAAGTGCGAGTGAAGTGACTGCCCACAATCACCGGTGTTCTCGCTTATCGCCACCATCATTTTTTCGTGATCATTACGTCGCCGTATCAGCATCATCGTCATCATCATCATCATCAGCGTCATCATCAGGGTGCGGCCCATCATCACCATCATCAGGGCGCTGGGCGCCATCATCATCAGAGCGCTGGGCGCTGTTCGTCATCGAGCTGATGCTCATCATCATCATCATCACGGTGCGTGGTCGTCAGGGTGATGGGCGTCATCGTCATCAGGGCGAGGGGCGCTGTTCGTCATCAAGCTGAGTCTCGTTATCAACAGCATCAAGGGGGTGATTCGTCGTCATTATCATCCTTCATCATCATCATCATCATCATCATCATCAGCGCTGTTCGTCATCGAGCTGATGCTCGTCATCATCATCATCACGGTGCGTAGTCGTCAGGGTGATGGGCGTCATCGTCATCAGGGCAAGGGGCGCCTGTTCGTCATCGGGCTGAGTCTCGTTATCAACGGCATCAAGGGGGTGGTTCGTCGTCATTATCATCCTTCATCATCATCATCATCATCATCATCATCATCATCATCATCGTTATCATCACTGTCAGGGAGCGGTTCGTCACCGCCATCATCATCATCAGCCCGTCGCATCATCATCAAGGTTTGTCGGGATCATCATCAGTGGGGTGCTGCTTGTCATCATCATCACTAGCAGCAGCACCAACGTCATCAACAGTAGGTGGTTTATCATCACCATCATCCTTTCGTGATCGCAGGGCGCAGGGCGCTGTGCGTCGTTGTCGTCATCACCATCATCATCATCCAGCATCAAGGGGGTGATTCGTCGTCACTATCATCCTTCATCATCATCATCATCATCATCATCGTTATCATCACTGTCAGGGAGCGGTTCATCACCGCCATCATCATCATCAGCCCGTCACATCATCATCAAGGTTTGTCGGGATCATCATCAGTGGGGTGCTGCTCGTTATCATCATCACCAGCAGCAGCACCAACGTCATCAACAGCAGGTGGTTTATCATCACCATCATCCTTTCGTGATCGCAGGGCGCAGGGCGCTGTGCGTCGTTGTCGTCATCACCATCATCATCATCATC